CAAGCGTGTGCTAAACAGTTATGGTATCTCTCCTTCTGTCCTGGGCTATTCACCTCCCCTATATCCTCGTATCACACCTTCACTATCACAAGTTTTTTTTCTTGCTTATTTAAATGTAGTGTGGTAGGCTCTTTAGAGCGGCTTTCATAAGAACCCTCCACAATCCAGGCTGGCGTTCTCACCCTCCTTCTTCCTTGTGCTGGGAATGCTGATTAGAGTCTGCCATATTGTTGCGCAGTCCTCCTTCCATAGGTCTTATCAGAGTCTCCCACTTGCCCCGTAAGATCCGTCTGCTATCTCCCTGGTTCAATATTTCACTCGACACCTGCCACTCCATCTGTGCTACTCGAAGCGTTACTACCCATCCCCTGTGTCTGGGTGACTAATTTGAGGTTAATGCCCCTGATTAATTCTCATGGTCAAGCCTTTTGCTACATGGACCACGTCTATGGCAAATCAGGCCTACTGCCAGTCATTAGCTCCAGTCTCCGCCGCATCTATACTGCTTCTATCCTTAGTACCAACTATATGACTTGCTATGCCCTAGTCTCTTATGATTTAACATTGAACCTAATCAAAGCAAGCAGTACCACAACATTTATGGGTTAGCACACAAGAGACTAGGGAATAGGAAGTCATAGACCTTGTATTACGGATAGAAACATGATAGACGCAGTGGAGACTGGATCTAGTTGGCTGACAGTAGGTCTGTTTTACCATAAACGTGGTCCATGTAGCAAAGGCTTGACCATGAAAATTAATTAGAGGCATTAACCTAGAATTATTCACCCAGACGCAAGGGATGGGTAATAACGCCTCGAGTAGCATAGATGGGGTGGCATGAGTCGAGTGAATTAAGAAAACTAGGGAGATAGCAGACGGATCCTACTTGGCAAGTGGAAGCCTCTGAAAAAACCTAGGGAAGAAGGACTGCGTAAAAATATGGCAGACTGATCAACATTTTCAGGACAAGGAAGAAGGGGGATGAGAACGACAGCGTGGATTTGGAAGGGTTCTTATGAAAGCCGATCAAAATGGCACACCACACCTCATTTAAATTAGCAAGGGAAAAATTTTTAATAGTAAAAACTTGGTACGAGGATATAGGTGAGGGGAATAGCCCAGGACAGGAGAGATAATACAACTGTTTAGCGCTTATTTGGTCAAAGGTTCGGCTTCACTTGTCCTTTTGATGAGTTGTAGTATGGTGACAAGAATTTCAAGACTTACTGATGATGCCGGCTAAACGTCTGGGAATGTGCCACGTCTACTGTCCGACTGGAAATTATCAATCATACAATGGCTCGGGACTAGGTGCGTTCCTCTAAGTCTTCCTACCAATATGACAAAGTTGCGAAAACAAGGTCAAACAACTTTTACCCATATGATCGTAGTAAAATTTAATTACTAGTCCCATCAGCAATTTTAACGAAATAGTTAATACACCTCATATGATCTACTTGTAGTCCCTAATAATTGGCTTCAATTTCGAAGTAACATCATTAAACGAGCTTTATCAGTTTAATATATCTCGGAAAGTTTAATGCCAGTTTCATTTTAATTACTTTCGGCCAACTTTCTCATTAGCATTAATATCTTTTCGTTTGATTCTCGACTGAGCTTCGGTTAAATATATCGTTATTTCGATACTCTTGTCTGACACTCGTTACCCTTGGTGATCCTTATATTGTATTTAAATCTATACACTAGATTCGTGCATCTGCTATTTCCGGAAGTCCACCTAGCTTGGTGATTGAGTCCAATCGGCCACATTCAGTTAGCCATCACTTGCTTTCTAGGCTTCATCCAATCGGATTGGTTACTGTGCAACCGCCCTCTAGGATCACTGCCCTCGCAATGCATGATATCTTTCAAAAGAATGCTTTTCAAGCGCCGGATTCACTGCATCCGCAGAGCCCAAGCCGGCAGTCATTAGCTTCTTCACCTATTCTCCTGGGCTTGGCCACGGCCCATGGATTTGCACTGGTCCGCATCAATTCATCTCCTGCACCGTTACAATTACCCTCTCTGCTTCCTCAGACTGCTAGCGCGGGTACGATAAATTCAAGCGATGCTAGAAACGTCGGTGAAGAACAAGAGCAGATAAACACTGGTCTTGAGCAGCTTATGAAAGATGCATGGTTAGTATTTATAAACTGATTTTCTGTTCTGATTGCGAGAACTATTTTTTTATATTCTAGAGATGTAATTCTATTTCCTAATACTATTTACTCAAAGATCACTCAATTACATTTAGGGATTTTCATAAAGGGCCTTGTTGGTAGACCTTATCAGAACCTGAAAATGGTTGTTTACTAATCGTTATTAACCCCCCTTTGGTAAACATAGTAGTTATCTCTTTTATTTTTCATTAAAAATGCATATCAATTTGCTCGCGTTGAATAATGATATGAGAAAACCTTTATGAGTAAACCAGAACATTGATATAAGTTATTTGACTTCGGTTTCGCAACTTGGTCATATTAGCAGGGAGACCTAGAGAAACGCACCTTGTCCGGAGTCCATAGTATGCATGCTCATTTCAGAGTCGGACCGTATACTTGGTATATTCCCAGTCCTTTATCACTCTGTGTGATGCAAGGAGATTGAAACTTTTGATGAAGATTTACCGACTGGAAATTATCATGCATACTCTGAACTCCAGACAAGGTGCGCTCCTTTAGGTCTTCCTCTTATTATGATCAACTTGCAAAACTAAGGTCAAACAACTTCTATACAACGAAAGAAATCCGCGTCCATACATAAGGCCACACCATCCTGGTCTTCATTTCCTTCGAAGAACATTGATACTCTTTATATATGAATTAAAGCTACCTTTAAAAGGATACCT